ACCACAAATGAAGAAGAGACTTCACAACCACCGCTCAAGATTCAATGTTCTAATCTTCGTTTACAGCCAGACATCACGCAATATCCTTAACAGTTGCAGATGTTGATTGTAGCCCTAAATGACTCTGTTCTATAAATTGTCATGTCGTCTTCATTTTCTTTTCCAATGACCTGGTTATCACTAGCGAGATCAACAACAGTGCTTAACAAAACAATGAAGGTTGTAACATTCCAACTGACGAACAACAAACTACAAAAGCTCACCAAGTGACAGTTTTCTCAAATCATGAAGCTTCCGCATACAAGTCCATTCTTTGAAGTAACGAATGAACAGGTTGTTTATATGTTTAATGAGACGGGTCATCAACCTCCTCTCAGTGGAATTAGTCAGTTTCGCAAGTCAATATTTCCATGTGTGTGGAATTTTCTATTTGGTATTTTTCTACGATGCTTGATTGGTCGTAGTTCAGGGCTTGATAAGCCGAAGTTGGAGGTGTATGCGATGATTACAGGTCTTTATTATGACTTAAATGTCGATTATGTTACTCAGCTAGGGGAAGAGTTTGGTACATGAATCTCTCACACAAATGTAACGAATGGGGTATCTTGTGCAAGATACTGGAGTCTAATTCTAAGGGATGTGTATGAAAAAAGAAGGGATTTTGGTTCCATCGGAAGAAGACAACGCGGAGTTTTCGACGTTGCAGACTCAAAAACTGGTTACTGATGATCCAGCTCTTTTTCTGAGTGTGGCTCGCATTCTTGGTTCCATTTTAAGACCAATTGATCCAGCAAATCTGGTTCTAGTTCAGTATTTGACATCTGTTATCCCAAATGTTACAGTAGGGGTTCTTTTGCCAAAGGGAGTTGAAGGTATATCGAAGGCTGCTAAAGCTTCTAGGAAACCGAAGAAGACTGAACAATCAAAACATGTTCAAGAGGATGTGGAGAAGGAAGTTACAAAACCTGTTCAAGAGAGTGTGGAGAAGGAAGTTCCTACGGAGATCGTTCCTTCAACATGCATTCTAAAAAGAACAAAGAATCCTGCTCATCGACCTCGTCATTCTCCTGAAGGGTCACTTGATCAAGAAGGTTCTAAGAATGATTCTCCAATGAAGGGGATCAAGAAGATTCGCAAACCTCAACTTAACAGAAGAGGTGTTCTCATTCGCGAAGTTCCTGCTCCTGTGTCCCCTGCTTCCAAGAAAAGACAAGCTCGTGAGATGGTCAAAAAGATCACGAAAAAGAAGAGACAAATGGTAGATCCACTTGATAAAGTTGTTGTTGAAACCGATACTGACAGTGAAAGTGAAATTTCAGATATTTGTTATGATGATACTGGTTTGGTTCACCTTAAAGGGATTCTCCTGTCAAGTCGATTTTCGAGGAGACTGCAAATCCTAGTGGCAATGTGCACGTATCTAATACGAATACAACCACCAGTTTGAGTGATCCTACTTCTACTTCCATCCCTGAGAAGGCAACAGTCACACCACCCGAGTTTTCGTTAACTGAGTCCTTTACCGAGGAGGTTCGAACCTCAGGCATCCCTTGTAACACCTGGTTTTGAAAGTGCTTCATTGCTAGGGGTTGCGTCCCAATCATCAGTTGCCATAAGGGTTAGGGCCTTGGGAAAGGGAGGATTTGGCCCATTTCGGATGTGGGTGTTAGGGTATACGTAAACCAAGTGTTTGATTGTGTCTTCGTAGGCCAAGGGTATAATTGTAATTTGACATCTCGGTCTTCTAGGTATTTTGGGTTCTTGTTCAGAAAGTTTTTAGGTAATGAGGAGTTGTTAGAAGCGTAGGGCTTCTCGTCACCTTTCCATGAATATAAAGTTCGTCGAAAACGGACTTAGAACGAAGAAGTTATAGCACCTTGAAGGTTTTGGCAGATTTAGCCCCTAATGGAAATGTTTGGCAAATAAGTCACATGCATGCAAGGGATGCATGAACGTGTCCGGCTGGGAACGCCCAGCGAAAGCTGGGTTACGCCCATCATATAAAGCTATATGGTTGCGGATGGTTTGTGAGTACGTCGATCGGGCGTACTCCCTTCAGAGTAAAACCCTAAATTTTAGGGTATGACACTATAAAAGGAACAATATGCCTCAAAGACCAGCCTCCCTCTCACCCTAAAGAAGCTACTACAAAACCAAAATCCATACTTGAGATATCTTGGAGCTTAGAAGGCCATTAGAAGAGTATTTTGGTGCTTTTGAAGAAAGTGTTCATTCTTGAAGACTTATTGGAGAAGATAGAGCTTTTAGATCCAGAACTACACTAGCTTTTAGGGTTGCCACCCTTGGTGCTATTTGAGTCCCTAAGACAGAAAGTTTCCATCTTGAAGGTCTTAATGGGTTCATGAAAGAGTTAAGACCATTTTCATGGAAGTAGAATGCCATTTTTGGA